TTTCAAATAATTTGACAGCCTAAATTGCTTAAAACAAATTTCACACTTATAAAATTTTTCTTCATGGTGAACTCTCAAATGTGTTGTCAAATTACTGGCTTGTCTAAATTGCTTAAAACAAATTTCACACTTGTAAGATTTTTCTCCAGTGTGCACCCTCATATGTACTTTCAAATTTCTTGCAGTACTAAACTTCTTAAAACAAATTTCACAGTAGTCAGATTTCTCTCCAGTATGCACCCTCGAATGTGCTTTCAAACTACTTGCATGACTAAATTGCTTTAAACAAATTTCACACTTGTAAGGTTTTTCTCTAGTGTGCACTCTCAAATGTTCTTTCAGATAACGTGCATGACTAAATTGCTTAAAACAAATTTTACACTTGTCACACTTCTCTCCAGTATGCACCCACGAATGTACTTTCAAACTACTTGCATGACTAAATTGCTTTAAACAAATTTCACACTTGTAAGATTCCCCTCCAGTATGCACCCTCGAATGTGCTTTCAAACTACTTGCATCACTAAACTTCTTAAAACAAATTTCACACTTGTAAGGTTTTTCTTTAGTGTGCACTCTCAAATGTCTTTTCAAATTACTTACTAGACTAAATTGTTTAAAACAAATTTCACACTTGTAAGGTTTTTCTCCAGTGTGCACTCTCAAATGTGATTTCAAATAACGTGCATGACTAAATTGCTTAAAACAAATTTCACACTTGTACGATTTCCCTCCAGTATGCACCCTCGAATGTGCTTTCAAACTACTTGCATTACTAAACTTCTTAAAACAAATTTCACACTTGTAAGGTTTTTCTTTAGTGTGCACTCTCAAATGTGCCTTCAAATAACGTGCATGACTAAATTGCTTAAAACAAATTTCACACTTGTCAGATTTCTCTCCAGTATGCACCCACGAATGTGCTTTCAAGCTACTTGCATAACTAAATTGCTTTAAACAAATTTTACACTTGTAAGATTTTTCTCCAGTGTGCACCCTCGAATGTATTTTCAAATTTCTTGCATTACTAAACTTCTTAAAACAAATTTCACACTTGTCAGATTTCTCTCCAGAGTGCACTCTCAAATGTGCTTTCAAATAACTTGCCAGCCTAAATTGCTTAAAACAAATTTCACACTTGTAAGGTTTGTCTCCAGTGTGCTCTCTCAAATGTCTTTTCAAATTACTTGCTAGAGTAAATTGTTTAAAACAAATGTCACACTTGTAAGGTTTTTGTTCAGTCACAACTTCCACATTTTTATTTAATATTTTTCCTTCAGAGTGTTGACTAGTAGAATTTTCTTCATAAGATGAATCATCAGTTAGTGTCTCCATAATTTCCAGTTTGTGTTCATTTAGGTCCAGGAGATAACCTAAAAATACAAATCAACTATAACATAAATATTTGAGTATAAGCGAAAATGAATTCAATAACCAAATTACAGAATAATAAAATTTAAGACAGCAGAAATAGTTAATCATTTACTAAATATGCTTAATCTCCCTGTTATTATATTTAGCACATGCTAAAAAAAAGTGACACACTATACGAAATTTACGTATTTTGTACCGATAACGGCATCTACTACAAAATTTCAAAATTTAGAATTACACAATACAATAAAATTATCATTTTTCTAGTACAACTATTGGCGACTAAATAACAGAAATCCGTTTTGTCATTCTCTGAAAGATGATCTTCTACAATATTGAAAACCGTCATTATGTCGGTGGTGACGAACGTGATTACTACAACTTAACATTCAAATTGTGAAATAACGTCTTCTACAGTTTGTGACCTAAAGGACACTTTACCTGTATCAGTTTTAAGGTTAGTATTGACTTTGCAATTAGGAATAACGTCACTTTATGTTTAATGTCACTATGGCTGTTGGTTTGTAGTATTAATAGCTAAATTAGACGCTTCTAAAAGAGACATTTATTGTTTAGTGCCACTGTTCCGTATACATCTTGTAAATATAATTGACTTGTGGTTATCAATTTTGCCACTTTGTCTTTAGTGTCATTGTAGTTGTTAATTTATAGCTGCAGCAAGTGCTACCATAGCGTCATGTTTTGTTTAGTGACATCGTTGTTATACGATTCTTTAAATATATGATTACATTTGGCGTTTATGTCGTAATTTACTGCAAACTTAAGACTGTTAATTATTAAAATAAAAAAAAAATTATTTCAAATCCTTTATAAAAGGTATATAATAAAATGCCCAAATGGGCTATCACAATCACATTACAAAATGTTTTCGGATTGATAAATCCATCATCAATAACTGTAAATTTATAACATTTAAAGGGTTTTGACCCATATATTTTGGTGGCTCATAGCATGTATACCTCGTTTACACTGATGATGGATTTAACAATCCGAAAACGTTTTGTAATGTAATTGTGATAGCCCGTTTGGGCATTTTATTATATACCTTTTATAAAGGATTTGAAATAAATTTTTTGTGATATATGGTATACAGCCAGCTACAGGAACTTAGTTTCCTAGTGGATTTTTAATTGTTAAAATGTTTAAACACGATAGTTGTGTCGTCGTTTTTTTTATTTCGTTTATTCAATCTATTAATACGAATTTTCATTTTGTAAGAAAGATAATAACACACTACTCATATAGATGATACTAATATCATAATTTTTAAAATCCGTTCTGTATAAATAAAATCTGAGAAAAATTGTAAAAATGGTTATTTTGACTATAAGTTCACCTTTATGCTTCTGATGCTCAATATTTTCTTTTAGACTTCAAAATGCGGTTTCGTGGATGAATATTGGTAGAGCTAGCTAATAAATATGTCGATCCACCTAGCTCAACACAAATATACGAGAATTGTGATATTGCACATGATCCAATTCCAACGGAAAAGAAAATTATTAACGAGGAAGTTTTACCGTCAACAGCATCTAATGTGGAAGACCCCAATTCAAATACTCCCATATTATTGAATGATACAGATCTAATTGAACACAATAATAATACTGCGGACAATGTTTACAATGTTTCTCCAGTGTCAGACGACAATAATGAATATTTGCCATTTTCGTACAACATTAAGAAACGCCGTTACAAAAATTTGCTTGCACCATCCAATACAAAAAACTACGCAGAGCGTCTTCTAGCTCCGACTTCTCTTCAAGCTCGGATACTTCTTCTAGCACCACTTCGTCTTGCACAGCTCATCTTCCAACTCAGGTTTGCCAACTAGTTCAATATCAGGCACTCATAAAAGCGAATCAGAAGAACATGCCGTTTATGTTGCTAGAGAAAACAACATTTCTGTCAAAAGCATTAACATGCGACAAAATGCTCTTGAAAATTATGATATTTTAGCTTTGGTACAACCAGACAATTAATTAGCGCTACCCTCATTCAAAATCTGTCCTCCAAATAAGCAGACGATTGCGTTGTGTCGAAAATGGTTAGAAGACCTGGACAAAGTAGTAAAGCAGTTGCTAAAATTTTGAGAAATTCAGGACAGGAATACCTGTCAGCTTATCATAACCGTAGGATTATACCTGCAAGAAAAATGGGATCTCCATGTACAAATCAATGCCGTTTAAAATGCGCTGACCACATTTCAGAAGAAATTCGAAAACAGATATTTGATAGCTATTGGGCTATGGGATCGCTGACATGTCAGAGAGAATTTATTGCAAGGAGTATGGTACCTGTTATCCCAAAATATCAGTACAAAATGGTTAACAGTAACAGGAAACTTAAACAATCTTTTCATTTGAAAGAAGATACATCTAAAACAGTGTGAGTATGTAAATTTTTTTTAAGAATACTCTTGGAAGATAGACAACAAAGGAATAATTGATACAGAACAGAGAGGAAAACGTGGTAAATTAAATGATAGTTTATAATCTGCTGTATGAAACCACATAAATTGAATTCCATGAATAGAAAGTCAATATTTAACTCCTAATACAGGTCAAATGTTTATATACAGCAAATGATACACCATATACCTATACAACTAATTCTTTTTCTCTTTCTGCTCTCTCTTACCTATAGCATTACATATGTAATGATTGTGCAGATTGAACCCCATATAAATTTGTAACGGCAAACATGTGTATAGAAGTATAACTTCTACCCACAGTCCCACTGGACTGCCACACCTGTTTTTTTTTTACTAGTATCAGACTCGGAAACAGAAAAACTACATAATTAAGTGTATAAGGTTATAAATAAAGTTTTAAAAAAATATATATTTCACTCACTAACTTTATTTCTACAAGATCATATTTCGCAACAAAGCAAGATCATATTTCGGGTAATATATATTCTTTATCTATGGCAACAAAGTATGTCAAAAAGTTTAAAGGCTGATTCTGTAAAATTGATTATTTTGGATAGTGTCACTTTTCTTTAGCATGTGTGAAATGTGGGAAGTACAGTTTTATTAGTGGTCTTTTATTGGGTTGAGGTGAATAGGTTTTGTGTTAAAACTAAAGAAATGTTAAAAATGTGACAATGCTGTAACTAAAGTGAAAAAATGCTTTACTCCAGATTTTTTCCTTAACAAGATTTGAATGTGGTATCTGTAAATTGAATATCATGTCTTATTTTAAAGAAATGTTAGAAGTGGGAGGGTGCTGTAACTAAAGATGTCTAGGCTTGGCATAAGAAACTTATTATTGTTACTAACCTTTTTCAGTTTTTTGGTGTTCTTCAAATGAGTTAGGTTTATATCCATGTTGTTCTATTTCAGTATCTATGGGACATTTCTTTAAGTCTAAATATGTGTCATTTGCACTTTGCCTATTGGATTCCTCCTGAATTTCAAATTTAAAGCCATCCAACAGAGCATCATCCAACTCTTTATACTCTATTTCTACTTTAAAAGTTTCCTCGCCAATTTCTTGCTTTACTTCCATTTTATTACACTTGATTTATGTATCCCAATAATAATTTTAAACACAAAAACTTCAATCACTTTAAAACTTATATAAGGAAACAAGTTTGGATTACATTAGAGAGTGTTACCAGTGGCTGGGCATGGAAGGATGCACCTCCCTGTCAAAAATTATGCGATTTTGTACAAAATTATGCGCTCTGTTGTAAAACGTAGAAGTAATCACCAAACGATAAAACAAACCTTGTCCTTACTGTCATCTGTCACTGTCATGTCCTGTCAGTTGTCATTGTAATAGTTATTGAAAGGTTGAAATGAAAGTGTGTCAAAGTGTCAAACTCGAAACGTTCAAAACAAAACACAATGCTAAAGAAAAAAGTAGGATTGAATATTGAATGGAGGTTTTTAGTTTTTATTTGTTTAGTGTTGAGGTTAACAGAAAGATAAAGATAAGAAAAAGAAAGTGTGTGGTACTGGTACACGATTATAACTTAAAAACTATGAACAATATAGCTTATAGCAATATAGCGCACCTGGACTGGAAATGTACCTTTAGAATTGAAAAATAGGATCAAAATTTGAAATTTTCAAAAATATACATCTTTTGTAATAATCTAACTTTAATCATCAGTTATAAATAGTACTTACATGTAAACAACAGATTACATATTTTAAACTCCTAATGTAAATTATTCTATTTAACAAAAAATCTTAAATAAAAACGTATACTTAAAGTAAAAACATACTATATTAAAATACAAGCTACTGATTGTCTTTCCATATATTATGGCCTAGCATTTTTTTGGATGGTATGAATTTTAAGCAACCGCCATTGTTTTCAACTCCTGCTTTGGTTGCCAAAATAGCTTTTGCAGTTGAAGTGTTTAATAAATTCCGTTTGTCACTTTTTATGTTAAACAAATCACTAAATATACGTTCTACACTGGCATTAGAGAATGGTAAAACAAAAAGTAGCTGTAGCGTCTTTTTTAAATTCGGAAATAAAAAAGCATTAGCATCATTTTTTAAATTAAATATTTGAGACCAATATTGCTCACAGTCATCTGAATTTAAATTTAATTTTTCAAAGTCTAATAGAGCATGTCTTCTCCATTCATTGTCTAACTCCTGAATATTAACATATTCTTTTAAAATAGGAAATTGATTAGTTACACATTGTAATGATTTTATTTCAAAACTTTGTGCAATTTTGGGATCCAATATTGAAATTATTTTATAGATAGGGTCTTTAAAGGTGAATCGATTTTTAATATTACTAACTAATTCTATATAGAATTCTAAAATACATTTAAAAAAACTATCAAATTCTTGTTTGTTTATATTTGGATTTTTTTTTAATTCTTGCAAGCTTTCTGTTGCAGCAATTCCTATATAAATATCATGTAGACTAACAAAATTTGTAGGGTTTTCATGGTTAAGGATAAATATGTCATTGGTTCTTTTTATTACAGACATCTTTATAAAATTGGAACAAAGCGTTCTCAACAGAGTTTCAGTTTGTGGCTTAACCTTACAAAGAAGTGGTTTTTCTGACTGAAAGAGTAAATTGAAGTCTGTCATTAGTCCTAAAGAATATGACATAAACTCTAGATATACTGGTGTGAACAAATTTGACATGGTTTCCAACATTGTCTCTGTTGTAATTGATGGGTCTTCAAATACATATTCTGTCAAATATGCTCTAAGTGGCTCATATTGCTCAAGCACTCTATCGACACATTCTTTAATAGATAACCATCTTGTTATGGCTGGAGAGAGTATCTTGTGAATTTTCACTTGAAAAAAATTTTGAAACTCTATAAATTTGTGTCTCCTCAAAGCACTCCTATTAAAGTGACTGCCTATGTTTCGGAGCAGATCTTCCACATGCCTAGGTAATTTTAAACAGGCTTTTGATGTAGCTAAATGTGCCATATGACATGAGCATCTAATACATATTATATGTGGAAATTCTTCCTTTAACTTGGAAAATACAGAATTAAACTCTCCAACCATAACATTGGTGGTATCTGATGAAAACCCTACAAAATTTGTTAGTGGAATATTCTTTGAAGTTAAACAGTTCTTTAGAATACCATATAAATCATTAGCTGTTGATCCCTGAGCTTCAACAAGATCAAAAAATTGTGTTTTGGTTGAATTATTTTCATAAATTATAGTAGTGAATGCACATTGCTTTTTTATTGAAATATCAGTAGTTTCATCCATAACTAAAGAAAAAAAACATCCTGGCTCCCTTAATTTAATATATAGTTCTTCAAGAAAATTATTCCCCAAGTTATTGCAAATAATTGACGTCGCTTTGGTTCGTTTTAAATGTAATTGTTTAGCAATTTTCGAGTCAGGAAATATATTTTGAATTAAAGGAGTTAGGGTGTCTACTAATAAAAATGGCAGGTTATTGCTTGCCAACAAGGCGCATAACTTTAACTCTGCCGTTTTTACAGCTAAATCATCAGCATTTGGTTTATACAGTTCAGTAAGTTTAATATTGCTAGTCACTTTTGTCCAATTTAATTTATGCCTGTCACTTGTTGAATGTTTCAATAATACACTTTTATGAGCTACAATATCACAATCACATACCTTGCAATAGGCGTACTCATTACCCTCAGATGATGGTTGTTTTGTAGATTTTTCTAACCAATTCATGAATTCTGGTACACTTTTCCAAGAGCTGTTAAAAGTCTTCTTTTTTTCATACTTTGAGGCTTTTTCCATTTTTATTTTCTTTTTTGCTGATGTTGTAGGATCATTCTAAAATATAATTATAATTTAGATGATCTAAATCAATAAAATATTATTCAAATACAAATTTATTTTACTACTGTAGTAATACTGAATTTCTGTAATTATATCTTATATTTGTAGTTTTTTTAGTTTAGTTTAATTGTATTATCCATATAATTTTAATAAATAATTAAGTTGTTGAGGTCTGTGTTTTTTTATAATTTTAAAATTATTAATTATTTATATATGTTACCATATTATTAGTATCGCCATTGTCACTCATAATATGAGAATGTGTGGGAGCAGGATAAATAGGGGAGCCCTCGTTTTGATAACTGCAACCTGGCTTTTCTATATCAATTGGTGCTGGGGAATCCTTTTGCTTATTTTTATCTGTTTCCTTATGTTTACTCTAAAAAACGAATTTCTTCATTAAAACACAAAATTTAATTTTAAGAAGCTTGAAAGATCCATACAAAATCTACTGAACTTTACCTCTCATTCACAGCAGGTAGGTATGTGTTACTAATTCTGATTTTTGAAGAAGTATAAAGATATTTTAAACTATATTATATATTTAAAAAATCCAACAATAACCATTAATTATTGTATAGGAAATGATTTTTAATGAGAACAAAAAATAATTATTTCAAACTATTAAACATGTCTCCTAGAAGGTACAAATTCAGTTATGATTCATGTTTATGTGATTTCTCTATTATATATAAATAAATAATTTTAACTTCTTTTAACTATTTTTTATATTTACCTTAAAACTGGAAAGCCACTTATCCATTTTCTATATTTTTTTTATTTTCTTCTTTGTACAAACACGACACATTAACACACAAAGTAACAGTTGAAGAAGTAGGCTTGAATTAATTTAATTTTTTTCAACTTTTGCCTTATATATGTAATTCTATGTGAAATCCCCGTAAATACAAATGTGAAGTACTTACCTACTCAAATATATGTAAAATCTTTCCTTCAATGTGTATTAATTGGGTATTGCCAGATAAGGGGATTTTCTGGTGAGAAATATTTGCTTGGGGAATAACAGAGCACTTTATAGTTAGATCCTTACTATAAAGAATGAAAAATGATTGTATTGTAAAAATGCTTTTTATATTATACAAATGGCCTTTTCAGTACCTTTCAATAATTGTACAATCCAAATAATGGTGATATTTTTTAAAACAAATTAATTTTTTGTTTTTAGATATTTAATATATGTACTGGCTGATATCACCCACCCACTTGTGTTACTAAAGGAAATTTAGATTCATATACTTGTAATGCAGTTATCTTCGGTTTTTTTACAAATTATTACATAGAAATTGTTACATTTTACGATCTGACAAAGGTAGGAGTAGACGTTATTAATTAACAGCCAAATATCTTCCTATAATACTGCTAGAAACACTAGACTTTGGCCTATGGTAGTATTCTATGGCCTTATGAATGTTGCTTGTTACTTCTTTCGAATTATACAAAAAAGAAACAATTCAGAATTTAAGAATTGCAGAAGATTATTTATGAAAGATTTATAAATACAACAAAAAAAAATATGAGAAGAGTTTTGAACCCTCATTTAGCTTGATGAGTCTTGAGTTGTACAACAATCAGCACTGCGCCTATCAAATACTTCTATACAGGCCCATTAGAAATGACCACCAATAAAGAAAGCAATTGCAAAAGACGGAAAACGCGATATTTTTGCACATTTTGTCTATTCTGGTTGTGTACCCTAATCTATGGTTGGGTATGGAGCATATTGTAGCATGTTGCTCCTATTGCACAGGGAACAATTTGGGGTAAAATTCAAACTTATATTTTGTGCAGAGATTTTTTCTATTTATTGTTATAACAAAATTGTGTAGGTAGGTTAATATTTGTATTTTAATAAAACATCTGTAGAAATTTTGGAAAACATTTGTTTACTAAATGCCAATAAAAGTTAAATAAAGCAGAAAATGCTAGGTTTTAGCTTAATTTCGGTATTTTTTTTAAATAAAACAACAAAAATACAATAACATAAGGTCATTAAGTTAACCCGTCCACTCCCGGGTTAACCCTAAACCACCCTTAATGGAGGTGACTCAGGTCACAGGTCCTCAGGTGACCGAAAATCAATTTTTATATATTGTAAATTTGTTTTCTAATGCCGCCATAGAATGGAAATTTTCTTCGATACAGTAATGTCAGTAATTGACAGTAATTTTTATTTGCTAAAGATAATGCTGTGTCACAGAATAAATAACAATTGTTTATTATTCTGTGGCTGTGTAAAATGTCAGCACAAACGTTTTGTTAAAAAAAAGAAGACGAGGACTCTTA